CTTCGAGCAGCCCACCTGCCTTGGCCTCCCAAAGTGCTGGGATTATAGGCGACCGCCACCAGTCCCAGCTAATTTTTGTATTTTCAGTAGAGACCAGGTTTCACCATGTTGGCCAGGATGGGCTCGATCTCCTGACCTTGTGATCTGCCTGCCTCAGCCTCCCAAAGTGCTAGGATTACAGGCATGAGCCACGACACCACAGCCTATGAAATATTTTGATACAGGTGTGCAATATGTAATAATCACCTCTTGGAACGTCTCAAACACACAGACACACACACACACACACAGAGAAACCTAATAGTTAGAAAACTGCATTTTAACTTCATTCCCCTTTTTAACTTTTTGTTGATTCTGTGTCTTATTGTACTATGTCTTGGAAAGTTGTAGTTATTATTTTTGATTGGTTCATCATTCAGGCTTTCTACTTAAGACTTAAGTGTAGTTTACATACCACAATTACAGTGTTACAATACTCGATGTGTTTTTCTGTGTACTTACTATTACCAGCGAGTTTTGTACCGTCAGATGATTTCCTTTTGCTCACCGACATCTGGTTTTTTTTCTGATTAAAGAACTCCCTTTAGCATTTCTAATTGGACAGGTCTAGTGTTGATGAAATCCTTCAGCTTTTGTTTGTCAGGAAGTCTTTATTTCTCCATCACGTTTGAAGGATATTTTCACTGGATATACTATTCTTGGGTAAAGATCTTTTCCTTCAGCACTTTAAATATGTCATGCCACTCTCTCCTGGCCTGTAAGGTTTCCATTGAGAAGTCTGCTGCCAAACGTATTGGAGCTCCGTTAAAAGTTACTTGTTTTTGCTGTCTTGTTGCTTTTGAGGTTCTTTCCTTGTCTTTGACCTTTGGGAGTTTGATTATAACCTTATTGAATATTGATGTTGATATTGTTCTCCAGGTTTGGGAAGTTCTCTGATACTATCCCTTTGAATAATCTTCTTGCCTCTCTTTCTCTACCTCTTCTTTAAGGCCAGTAACTCTTAGATTTGCTCTTTCAAGGCTATTTTCTAGATCCTGTAGGCGGGCTTCATTGGTTTTATTCTTTGCTTTTTTCTCTCCTCTGAGTGGGTATTTTCAAATAACCTGTCTTCAGGCTCAATAATTCTTTCTTCTGCTTAATCAGTTCCACTATTAAATGACTCTGATGCATTTTTTCAGCATGCTAATTGCATTTTTAACTCAAGAATTTTTGCTTGATTCTTTTTATTTCAATCTCTTTGTTAAATTTGTCTGACAGAATTCTGAATTCCTTCTCTCTGTTATCTTGAGTTTCTTTGAGTTTCCTCAAAACAGCTATCTTGAATTCTTTTTTTGTTGTTGTTGTTTGGAGACAGAGAGAGTCCTGTTCTGTTACCCAGGCTGGAGTGCAATGGCATGATCTTGGCTCACTGCAACCTCTGCCTCCCGGGTTCAAGCAATTCTCGTGCCTCAGCCTCCCAAGTAGCTGCGATTACAGACATGCATCACTATGCCTGGCTAATTTTTTTTGTATTTTTAGTAGAGACAGGGTTTCGCCACGTTGACCAGGCTGGTCTCGAACTCCTGGCCTTATGTGATCCTCCTGCCGTGGCCTCCCAAAGTGCTGGGATTACAGGCATGAACCACTGTGCCCAGCCAGCTATTTTGAATTCTCTATCTGAAAGGTCACATGTCTCTGTTTTTCCAGCATTGGTCCCTCCTGACTTATTTAGTTTGTTTGGTGAGGTCATGTTTTCCCGGATGATCTTGATGCTTGTAGATGTTCGTTAGTGTTTGAGCATTGAAGAGTTAGGTATTTATTGTAGTCTTCACAGTCTGGGCTTGTTTGTGTCCATCCTTCTTAAAAAGACTTTCTAAAGGACTTGGGCCCCAAGCCCAATATCACTGTGGTTTTTGCAGACGCAAAGTACTCGCTTGGTGGTCTTGGATTAGATCCAGAATTCTCTGGATTACCATACAGACTCTTGTTCTTTTCCCTTTCTCTCAAAGAAACAGTGTCTCTCCTTCTCCCTCTCCCCCTCCCCCACTCCCCAGTCCCCTCCCCTCCCTCACTCCCCCTGCCTCCCTCCCTCCCCTGAGCTGCCTGGAACTGGGGTGTGGTGATGCAAGCACTCTTGTGGCTACCACCACTGGGACTGTGCTGGGTCATGCCTGCCATAACTGCTCACTTGCTACCACCTATGCTAACTCAAGGCCCTAGGGCTCTACTATCAGCAGGTGCCAAAGTGAGACAGGTTTGTGTCCTTCCCTTCAGGACAGTGAGTTCCTCCAAGCCCCGGTGAGTCCAGAGATGCTGTCTGAGAACCAGGGATTGGAGTCAAAAACCTTAGAAATTTATCTGATGTTCTGTTCTACTGTGACTAAGCTGGGACTCAAACCACAATATAAAATCAGTCCTGCTTTTCCTTCCCCTTTCCACAGGCAGAGGGGCCTCCCTGTGGACACCACCACCCAGCCACGATTGGGGGTGGGGGTAGTTCTGCCAGGCCACCTCCAGTGTACACTTAAAGCCCAAGGGCTCTTCATTTCAGTCAGCTGGTGGGGAATGCTGCCTGGCCTGGGATCACCCTTCAGGGAACTGGGCTCCCCTCTGGCCCAAGACAGGTCCAGAAATGCGGTTCAGGAGCTGAGGCCTGAACCTCATTTCTCTGGGGACCCCAAGAGCCTGCTTATTCCTCTACCCCACTGTGGCTGAGCGGTACTTAAGGTGCAAAACAACAACATCCCTTTACTTGTCTATCTTCTTAAACAGAAGAAGCCTTTCACCATAGCCACCTATAGCTGGGAATGTGCTGGGTCACACCTGTAGTCAGCACATCTCAGAGCCCAAGGCCCATGGTGTACTACCTGGGCATTGCTGCTGGTTACTCGGGGCCCATGGGCTCTTTAATCAGCAGCTGATGAATCTTGCAGGGACTGGGTCCTTCCTTTAAGGCAGCAGGTTCCGTTTTGTCCAGATGGTGTCTAGAAACATGTTTAGGAGCTAGGACCTGCAATGGAGGCCTCACAACTCTGCCTGGGGCCCTATCCTGCTGTGGCTGAGCAGGTGTCCAAGATGCAAGACAAAGTTGTCTTTACTCTTCACTTTCCATCGCTTAAGCAGAAGGAAGGAGATGTTTTTGCCCCTGAGCTGTACTGCCTGGGTTTGGGGGAGAGGTGGTGCAATCACTCCTTTAGCCACCCTGGGTGTCTCCCTAGGTCACGTGCCACCCTGAGTCCTCTGGCTCTGAGTCCAGCCCAGCCCTAGGAATTGTTTAGGAGTTGAAGTCCTTGTGTACCTGGACTGTCTTCCAAGTTTACCTAGGTCCTCAGCACTTCAGCCCATGGTCACCAGGCTTGTTGAGAAACTCAAGTTCCAACCTATGGGATGGGTGATTATCTTCTGGCTAGGTCTGGTACAGATTCTCCCTCCTTGCACAGGTACTGGCTGACCCCAGCATGGGTTTATTCTCTGCTGTCACGGGGCAGCACTAAGTTCAGTGTAAAGTCCCCTAGTCACTGTGATGTTCTTCCCCCATATGCACAGACTCTGGCACTGCAAGGCCTCTGCCAGGGGATGGGAAGGGGGTGGCATCAGCGATTCAAGACTGTCTGTCCTGCCCTCCTCATCACTTCTTTCAGCAGGGCGCAGTGACTCATGCCTGTAATCCCAGCACTTTGGGAGGCCGAGGCAGGCAGATCACGAGGTCAGGAGATCGAGACCATCCTGGCTAACATGGTGAAACCCCGTCTCTACTAAAAATTACAAAAAAATTAGCCGGGCGGGTTGGCGGGCGCCTGTAGTCCCAGCTGCTTGGGAGGCTGAGGCAGGAGAATGGTGTGAACCCGGGAGGCAGAGCTTGCAGTGAGCTGATATCGTGCCCCTGCACTCCAGCCTGGGCGACAAAGTGAAATGCCAAAAAAAAAAAAAAAAAAGAAAGACTGTCTCTCCTACCCTCCTCAATGCTTCTTTCAAGGATATGCAGAGACCAAATGACACACAGTCTTAGCTGCCATCTTTGGAAGCTGAAGTAACTCAGGCTAAAGCTATTTAAATACCGTTTCTAAAATAGTGCTGAAGCCTCACCTGTAGCTTGAGAACTTTCCTGAGTAAGTCATGAAATGTTATCAGGGCTGGTCACGGTGGCTCATCTGTGGTCCTAGGACTTTGGGAGGCTGAGATGGAAGGATTGCTTGAGCCTAGGAGTTTGGGACCAGCCTGGGCAACATAGGGAGACCCCCAGCTCTACAGAAAATAAAAAAAAATTATCCAGGCGTGGTGTCACACCTATAGTCCCAGCCGAGGAGGCTGAGGCAGGAGGACCACTAGACCCTGGGAGGTTGAGACTGCAGTGAGCTATGATCATGCCACTGCACTGCAGCCTGGGTGACCCTGTCTCTTAAATAAAAAGAGAAAAAAATGTTATCAGTTATGATGTTTATATTTTTTAGTAAAATTTATAAATGGAATGAGAAATGGAATGTATTGTGTTAGAGTCTCTTACTGAATATGACTTGTTTGGGGTACCGTTTCCTAAGGATTAATTTTAAATTTCTCAAATATTCTAGAATGAATCTTCCATATGGATATTTGCTTCATTATTTTAAAGAAGTGGTTTTTAAGGATCAGGTGTGATGGCTCGCACCTGTAATCCCAGCACTTTGGGAGGCCGAGGTAGGCGGATCACCTGAGGTTAGGAGTTGGAGACCAGCCTGGCCAACATGGTGAAACCTTGTCTCTACTAAAAATACAAAAAATTAGCCGGGCTTGGTGGCATGTGCTTCTTTCTAATCCCAGCTACTTGGGAGGCTGAGGCAGAATTGCCTGAACCCAGGAAGCGGAGGTTGCTGTGAGCTGAGATTGGGCCACCGCACTACCTGGGCAACAAAGTGACAGTCTGTCTCAAAAAAAAAAAAAAAAAAAAGTAGTTTTTAAAGGAAAGTACTTTCTATAGTAGCTTATTTTCATCTCATTTTATTACATGTTAACATAGATGATATATTGATTTTTTTTTTTTTCAGCTTCCTTGGAAATCATTGACTAGCATCATTGAATATTATTACATGTGGAAAACTACTGACAGATATGTGCAACAGGTAATTTTTTTCCTATTGCTACCAATATGGTTGCATTAAAATTAACTTTGTTTATATTTTAATATTTTTTAGCAATGTACTAATTTTAAATTTGTTTACCTTACTTTTTCCAGACTGCTTTAAACTATACAATTTCATATCTTTAGGATATTATTTAAGATTTTAATCTTAATATTTCCTTGATTTCAGCATGAATTACAATAAATATTTTGGAGAGATACCACTAGAGGGGCATTATTTTCCTTGCATTTGACTGGTACTTCATCTCTTTGTAGTTCATGGCACTGATCAAAGATGTGATGCTAACACAAACCTCTTGAACAAGTTATTTTTATGAAGAATTGAGAATTTAGACCAATGTCATCAGCCGTATAATTTGATATATTTTTAAAGATCTTCTGAAACCTCTTTACATGACATTTGTGTGGCTATACCCCCGAAATCCTTGACCTTAACTGTAGTAGTCTTACTAGTGTGGTGTTTTGGTACTGTACATAAGCTTTTTCTTAAATTTAATTTTTGAGTCCTTCTCAAATATCCTAAATTCAGGTAACTCTCAATTACTTATTTTTTAAATAATATTACCTCTGGGGAACGGTACATTTTCCCAAAGTGACGTCAGCCAATACTTGTGTTATATTTGTATAGGCACATATTAGAACTGATAAAGAAGCAAATATATTTAACACAGATACTATTTTTCCTATATATGTAGGTTATACAGTGGCAAGTATTAGATGCTATAAAAAAAATTTTATGAATCACTTTTAAAATATCATAGTGAGCTGGGTGTGGTGGTGTGCACCTATATTCCCAGCATTTTGGGAGACCAAGACAGGAGGATTGCTCAGCCCAGGAGTTCATGTCCAGCCTGGGCAACATAACAAGACCCTGTCTCTAAAAATAAATAAAAAATTGAAAACAAAAAGTACCATGGTGAATTGTTGAGGTCACGAATAGTGAATAGATACCCAAGGCTTGTTGAAAAATTTCCAGTGTCGATATTAATATAATTTAGAAAGTGCTTATTATGAACAACTTAGGTATAGATCAAGACCATGTAGTCTGGAAACCTGTGTTATTAAATTAAAAAAGAGTCTCTAAAGATGGAGATGATGGTATCAAGGATGGTTGAAAAGTAGATAATATTCTTTCCAAAAATTTCAACCCTGTTCTAAAAGTTTCAAGTTGTCCCCCTAAGTATTTCTGTTTTCTCCTCATTGAGAAAATAGAAGATAGCCTTATATTCTGGTTTGTCTTATTTTTGGACATCAACCGTATGTTATTTTGCTTCTCTCTTTGCCTACACTATCATGTTGGTCAGTGTCTGGATTTGATTGTATAATCTCCTTCCCATTCCTTTCCCTACATATGGCTCCTAATTGGTTCCAGTAAAATAAGTTCAGCTGAAGTTTAAAGTTTAATGCGTATCTCCCAACATTTGAGAATAAATGCTTATTTAGTTCTACTTAGAATAGCCACAGTCACTCCTCTTGCCTGGATTTTGAACACAAATAATCTCTGAATATTTTTCTAAAAGCAGAGAGAGAGAGAGAGAGAGAGAGAGAGAGAGAGAGTGTGTGTGTGTGTGTGTGTGTGTGTTTTCTTCTAGAAAGGCAAATAAGTAGTAAAGTAGAAACTAAATTTGAAAAGTAAAAATGGTTACTTTTTAAAGTTCCTGTTTATTCACTCATAGAGGAATGGAAAATGGAGTTGCTCATTGCTTTATTTTTAAAAATCTATGCCTAAAATGGTATTGTACCACAGAACCTAGTGACTTTTCTTAGACATTATTGCAGTTTAAGAATATGCATATGAAAGAAAAGCTTATCTTAAAATTGTAATTTTTGAATTACACTTTACTACGTATTTTCTTGTGAATTTTTAAGACAATGAACAATAGTAATAATTAGGCATTGCATGTAAAATGTTTTATTCATCTTTTGAATTAGAAACGTCTAAAAGCAGCAGAAGCTGAGAGTAAACTGAAACAAGTATATATCCCAACTTAGTAAGTAATTGAAATCTTTTAAAATATTTGTTATGGTCTTAATTTTGTCATTGCAGAATATGTCATTTTGTTCAATTTCAGCAAAATTTGAACTTTTGTGTATCTTCCTTCTTCTACAAAGCATGAGACTTACTATTATACCAGTACAATAAAAAGGAACCAGTGAGAGAAACCTGAAATAGTCTAACCTAAAGAATAGAGGAAGTACTATATACTATACTTTTATCAAATCAAAGCTGCAGGGAAAGTGTCAGAAAACCTATGAAATGCTGTATTATTTGAAGCAAATGTGTTTCAGAAAGCTAGCAGCTTTTCAAACTATAGATTTTGTTTGGGTAATGCATACTGCTCTTTGGAGGTTTGTTGTTTATTTGAGGATTTTTACATTGTTTTCTTGGTTCTAATGTCAATTAGAACCATACTTGGTAAATGTGTGATAAATAATGGAGAGGTTTTGATTTTTTTGTGTGTCTAGTGTTCTATCATTATTATACTTTGAATTCAGAAATCATTGTCTCAAAATGAATGCCTTTTTTTTTTTTTTTCCATTTGCTTTGTTTTAAATGAGGCTGGGCGTGGTAGCTCATGCCTATAATCCCAGCACTTTGGGGGACCTCGTTTCTGCAAAAAACTTAAAAGAAATATAAATTGCTGTATCCTTCTGTTGAGATTTTCAGAGTTTGCTTATTCATTTGTTCAGGAAGAATTGGTTTATGAAGCACCATGTGTATATTGTTCTATCCTAGATTCTTTTAGGATTAAAATGAAATTTATTGCACAATTCTACGTGCTGCTCCAAGCCTTTTCTCCCTCTTCAACCTATTTACAGTTGCTTAATAACTAACCTTTTGTTTCCGGAATTTTGATATTTTGTATAATACATGTTTTTATATACATATAGGAGGCCTCATAGACAATGAGTGGTGATCTTTCATATTGATCTTTTACGTCAAGGCAAATAACTCTGGTTTGATTTTAAGAACATGTAATTTTTAGAGTCTGTAATTTTTATTAAGAATTGTAATAGCCCATCTGCAGAGTGGTTTTCTAATTCCTTCTAAATCATATATTTTATATGATGAATTTATAAAAGAGCCACTCCTCAAATAAAATACTCGTGTGTCTTAGATTTTCAAAAGCAAGCATACCAGTTTTCTTATACTTCAAAGTGCTGCCACCATGAAATAATACATTTAACTAGTTTTGACCAAGTAACCCAGATAATTGTTTCCATTTGGCTTTACTTTTACTTTTTAGTCAATGTAATCTAAGTCAGGGATCAATAAACTATAGTCTCAAGCCAAATCTGACCTACTGCTTGTTTTTGTGAATAAAATTTTGCTTTATTTTTGTTTTGTTTTGTGAGATGGGGTCGTCTTGCTCTGTCACCTTGGTTTAAGTGCAACAGTGCAATCATGGCTCACGGCAGCATCAGCCTCCCAGGCTCAAGTGATCCTCCCACCTCAGCACCACCACACCCGACTAATTGATTTTTTGTAGAGACAGTGTCTCCCTATGTTACCTGGGAGTTCTCGTGAATAGTGGAAATTGATTTTAAACAATGAAGAGTCATGGTCAGGTTAGCACTTTAAGATCACCTGCTATATGTTGGGAAATGGTTTGAGGAAGAGGACTAAGAGTAGATGCAGGGGGACCAGTTATGAAGTTCTTGGAGAGGAAAGATAACACTAGCTTGACCTGGAGTAGTAGCTCTGGAAATGGTGTGATATTTGGAGGTGACTGACTTTTATGGCAGGTAGGGGGTGTCTAGTGTGAATCCTAGGTTTCTGGCACAGTACAGTGGGTTACCATGCTATTTGTTAAGCTCAGAAATTGGCAGAGAATCAGGTTAGGTCATTCTGAGTTTATCGGAAAAGAGTTGTTCAGTATGCTGTCACCAGATACTGGATGTATTGGTCTTAAACTCAGTGTGGAAAAGTCTGGACTAGAGATACATATTTGAGCTTCATCAGCATACAATAATTATATTTGAAACCATAGATAAGATTTGTGAGGGAGAGCAATAAGAAAAGGGCCTTGACTTAGCCTTGAATAAATCCAGTATTTATAGATCAAATAGAATATGATAAGCTAAACAAGGATAGCTAGGTGACTATGGTATCACAGAAGCTAAAAGAGGAGTATGTTTCAAGGAGGGGGAAAGAGATTTAACAGTGTTGGATGCTGGTGGGAAATAGGCAAGGAATTTAATAACATGGAGATCATTGGTGATCTTATTGGCATGGTGAGCACTGCTGCATATGAGCCAAGGAGGTACAAGCAGATGAGAGAGCGAGTGTACAGTGTTCTCTAGAGCGCAGGAGGGCTGGAATCTGGAGCACAGATGAGGGGAGTGAGGGGAGATTTGAGCATTAGATAAAAGAAAGGGCAATTTCATATAATGTGTCTTTTAAAACATTAAAAATGTTTGCTTACAGTCACAGATTGTCACAATGACATCAATCATTTGTCCCCTGGGAATTAATCTGTAGGTATCTGGTTTTGCAGAACATATTTTATGTGATTCACATGTCTGTATACAGTCTTGGCACACTTGTTTTCCTTTTGTGATTATTATCATTAAGACAAGTGATGTATTCAATCAAATAACGTTCTAGATTCAGTTGAGCAATGAACTTTGCTCTCATTCTTTTTTAAGGCAGCTCAACTGTACATTTGTGTTAGCTCTTTTTCAACACACACATTTAGCCCTGGGTTAAATATCAGAAATTTTCATATTTCTGGGAAACCTCTGTCCAGTCATTTGACCCCAAGGGGAAATCAGTTCTATCTACATATAGTAGATTTTTAAAAAAAGGAATATTGTATATTACTGAAAATGCTAGTCATTCTAAATCGCCACTTTTCACTTAGTGTAGTTTCACCTGAAAACTATAAGAAGAGAAACACCTTCTATCTGATTTAAAATATGTTAATATGTTTTAGGGCCAGGTACAGTGGCTCATGCCTGTAAACCCAACAGGTTGGGAGGCTGAGGCAGGAAGATCGCTTGAGGCCACGAGTTTGAGATCAGTCTGCACAAAGTAGTGAGACCTCATCTCTACAAAAAAATTTTAAAATTACCCAGACATGGAGGCAAATGCCTGTAGGCCCAGTTACTTGGAAGGCTGAGGTTGGGGGATTGCTTGAGCCCTGGGGTTTGATGCTGCAGTGAGTTGTGATCATGTCACTGTAGTCTGGGCAACAGAGTGAGATCCTGTCTCTAAAAAAATTAAGTAGATAGATAGATAATAAATAATACATTTTTAAAAATGTATTTTATAACCAGGCATGGTGGTGTGTGACAGTAGTCCCAGCTACTTGGGAGGCTGAGGTGGGAGGATCACCTGAGCCTGAGAGGTTGAGGCTGCAGTGAGCCATGGTAATGCCATTGCACTCCAGCCTGGGTGACCCTGCCTCAAAAAAAAAAAAAAAAAAAAATTAAAGGTCAGGCATGGTGGCTCACACCTGTTGAGGTAGAGTGATCCCTTGAACCCAGAAATTCAAGACCATCCTGAGCAACATAGAGTCCCTGTATCTACCAAAAAAAGAAAAAAGAAAAAGAAAAGAGCCAGGCATGGTGGCACACACCTGCAGTCCCAGCTACTTGGGAGGGTGAGGTGGGAGTATCACCTGAGCCCAGGAGGTCAACACTGCAGTGAGTGGTGATCACACCACTACATACCAGCCTGGGTGACAAAGTGAGACCCTGCCTCAAAAAAAAGAAAAATGTCTTTTAAAAACCAATTTGTTGGCTGGGCACAGTGACTCACGCCTGTAATCCCAGCACTTTGAGAGACCGAGGTGGGTGGATCACCTGAGGTCAGTAGTTTGAGACCAGCCTGGCCAACAAGGTGAAACCCCGTCTCTACTAAAAATACAAAAATTAGCTGAGCATGGTGGCGGGAGCCCGTAATCCCAACTACTTGGGAGGCTGAGGCAGGAGAATCGCTTGAACCTGTGGGGGGCGGAGGTTGCAGTGAGTCGGGATCGTGCCACTTCATTCCAGCCTGGGTGAAAGAGTAAAACGCCATCTCAAAAAAAATAAATAGGCCAGGCATGGTGGCTCATGCCTGTAATCCCAGCACTTTGGGAGGCTGAGGCGGGCAGATCACCTGAGGCCAGGAGTTTGAGACCAGCCTGGCCAACATGGTGAAACACTGTCTCTACTAAAAATATAAAAATTAGCCGGGATTGGTGGCAGGTGCCTGTAGTCCCAGCTACTCAGGAGGCTGAGGCAGGAGAATCGCTTGAACCTGGGGGTGGAGGCTGCAGTGAGCCAGGATCACACCATTGCACTCCAGTCTGGGTGACAAGAGCGAGACTTCGTCTCAAACAAACCAACCAACCAATTTGTCTTTAACATACATTGCTGACACATGTTAGAAGTGTAAATAATAGTCCTATTTTATAGAATAGAGACCTCAGTGCACACAGTGGTTAAATGATTTCTTCTGGTAGCAATGGTGGGAGTGTCACCTGATAGTTGTAATAACAATACCAAAAGGAAATCTTAGGGTCTTTGCTGTCAGGCCAGACCAGCTTTACAAACCAGGCTTTAACAGGTGAATGGAATTGTGGAAAGTGGGAAACCTTGAGTCAACTCTGACTTCAGCTGTCTTGATAGTTGTGAGGTCTCATTGCATCAGTAGATATGGGAAGACAGCATATAATCTGCATTTAGCCATTCAGCATTCATTTTCGATAAATAATTTACTAATTTATTTTGCTTATTTTCTGTCTAGCAAATAAACACAAAAAGTCATTTAGAATGAAAGCACCTTGAGGTCAGAGACTTTTATTTATTAGGCACTGAATACGTTAAAGGAATTATGAATTTATTGAGAACGTACTATGTATATCTGTGCATTGTTCTTGGGCACAGCTTATAAGCAGTGGGGGAGTTAGCCTACCATACATGGGGAAAAGTTAGCCTTGTTTGCCTAGGAAATACCAAGATAATCTGGGCTACGTGTTTCTAAGGAATTAATGACTCTGTTGACTTGGTCTTTGTGAAATTTGCATATCGACTTATGGTAGATGTCTCTTCCCCTCCCTACTCCCCAGAAGAAAGGGTCTTCCTCTGTTGCCCAGGTTGCAGTGGAGTACAGTGGCATGATCATGGCTCACTGTAGCCTCTAACTCCTGGGCTCAAGTGATTGATGCTCCCACCCCAGCCTTCTGAATATCTGGGACTACAGGCACATGCCACTATGCCTGGGTAATGTTTGTTTCTGTTTTTGTAGAGACAGAGTCTCACTGTGTTGCCCAGGCTGGTCTCCGAACTCCTGGCTTCAAGTCATCCTCCCGCCTCTCTTTTCTCCTCTTAAAAAAATACTCTCTTAAAAAGGAAAACCTCCAAATACCTTTACTGGTTTTTAAAATTTCAAATGCTATGTAATATTCCTTATAAAATTTCAGATGTTATAAGAGTGGTCATCATGAGTGGCCAGAAGCTCCTGAAGTCCTAAGTAACCTGGAGATGGACCCTGTTGACCCCGCAGCATCTGCTAAGCGTGTGGCTTTTGTGCATCTCCCTGGAGAGCTGGAGTGCAGTAGCCAGCAGCCCCCACACCAGCAGCAGAAACTGGACAGTGACAACAGCCATGTTGCCTTTCAGTTAATTTGTTTGATCCAAATAATTATTTTCTTGGGAGACTTTATAAACGGTAACTTGTCTCTTTCAAAAGTGTCAGAGGATGTTTTAAGAAAATTGTATTCGGATCAGAAAAGAGATGGGACAGTATTTACTTCATGAATGTCAGGCGTAAGCGATTCCTTTTTACATAGACTTGTTTTATAAAGATGAGTAGTGTGAGTTCATTTTAACACCTTGCTTTTACCAGTTTATTTCTTCTTCACTACACATTTTAAAATGTTTATGTTCATTAAATAGTGAAGGTAAATCAGTAATGATATAGAGCTTTTTGCCTTATTGTACAAATCATTTTATCACCTTATTTTAATTTCATTGAAAGCAGCAAACCAAATCCCAACCAAATATCCACTAGTAATGGGAAGCCTGGTGCTGTGAATGGAGCTGTGGGGACCACGTTCCAGCCTCAGAATCCTCTTTTAGGGAGAGCCTGTGAGAGCTGCTATGGTAAGTTTTCTCCAGCAGGTCAGTTAAGCATCAGGAACTGTTATGACTCATGGAGTGTGAGCGTCTGGGATTTGCCTGAGGTCAGTACAGTGCACCTTGGAAAGCAGAAGTGTGTCTCCTCCAAATGAGCAGATGCCCCTCCTTACCTTTGGCTTGGAACAGAGGGACTGTTTGTTGAATCCTTATTACATACCACACACTCAAGTTAGGCATTGGAGTTCCTTTCATGTACTCTTGTGGTTTGTTGATTATTTCATAGCAGTGTTTGCGAGTTGTGTTTAGAGTCACATCAGCTTTGCAGAAGCTGTGGTCCCACGATGCATACCAAATCCCCTTTTGGAGTTTCTCAGTATACTTTGACACATTAAAGCTCCAAGTAATTCTGTAGGAAAGGCCTCTGTGTGGATAAGCTGCTGTTCCCTCAGTGCACCAGTTTGGGAAATGCTATTCTATGATACTTGCTTTTGACCTCAGGATCCCACTGTATTTATGCTGGCAGTATTTTATTTGCCCATGGTATTAAATGGGGTTGGTGAAGTGAACTGTTAGGTAGTTGATAGACTTTATGTGTTTCTTTTAAATCTCAAGCAAGGATACGATATCTTAATGGGGCATTGGTGATATTATCATCTGTTTCCTTCCAGTTAAGGTAGCCTGGGATGCGAGAGGGAAGGAAACTAATGTTTACTGAAAACCTACTTGGTGCCCCATTTTGGGTTCTTAGTAGCTCTTTGAGAGTACATGTAGCCTACTGTCTCCAGGAAGGACATAGAAATGAGGGACAGCTATGAGTACAATTACATCCACTGATCCCAAGGAAGGTGTGAGCCAAGTTGCTGAATTCATAGAAATGGTACATAGGGATGTGTTTAACAATTTTTTTGACCATGGGAGCACAAAGGGAAACAATTGGTGGAAAAAAATTCTTTAGTCAGGCTTTTACATGGATAGCATCATAAATACCTTGAATTGGGATTTCTTGGATTTCGAAGTTCGTGTATATTTAAATGAAAATAAAAAGAATCCTACAGACAAATGGTAGTGGCTTAATTTTAACTTGCAGGCAGGGCGCTGTGGCTCCCAGCACTTTGGGAAGCCAAGGCAGATGATTCACCTGAGATCAGGAGTTTGAGACCAGCCTGGCCAATGTGATGAAACCCCATCTCTACTAAAAATACAAAAAATTAGCCGGGCATGGTGGTGTGCACCTGTAATCCCAGCTACTCAGGAGACTGAGACAGGAGAATAGCTTGAACCCGGGAGGCAGAGGTTGCAGTGAGCTGAGATTGCGCCATTGCACTCCAACCTGGGCGACAGAGCGAAACTTCGTCTCCAAAAAAATAAATAAATAAATAACTTGCAAACCCCTTTCACACTCACGTATATCCCCTTAAATGATTATTCTGTTATTTTTATGTGTGCATGATGAGTAAGCTATTTTTATTTTATAATACTTACTTTAGACTCATGTATTACTAATCTCCATGATAAAGTTTTATCCTTATAGAGAGGTGGAACTTGATGTTTTCAATTTATTAAATGATACCTACTTTCCAACTGAATTTGAGTTATTTAAGGAGAAAGGCATTTATTGACAGTTATTAAAATGATGTGCATGATTTGACTAGTTTACGTAAAACATGTTTTAAGTGAAATTTTATATTTAGAATTCAAAATAGATTCATAGCTTAATGTTTTAAGATTTTTTAAATTTGTGTCTTAATGACTTATTAGTTCTAAATTATAGGAGGAAAGGCTTTTAGGCTTTCATTTGTATAAAATATTTATTTGTATAAATAAAAGCCCAAAACAGGCCTAAAATATTTACACAAATAAAAGCCTAAAATAATAATCCTCCAAAAATAATACATGATGGGTGTACAGTGTTATTCCCAATAAACATGAATATAATGATCTCTGTATTTTCTCTTTTTCACATTGGTTTGTGAAGTGTTAGTTGATATCTTGATGTGCTGTTTGAACATTTGAACAGTCTGATAAAGGTAACTTACAGGTCAGAGAAATAATATTTTAAGGCAGACCTACAGAATTGCAATTTTTTATGCACCCAGTTAATATCTCAACCTCAGTGTTTTCTCTTAAACTTCAGATCTATCATGCGTATATTTTAAATGTCACATGTCAGTAATTTAAACTACAAAACAAAAACTAACACAAGCTTGCAGTGTTCAGCTAGCTGTTAAATCATCTGAGTTTTAGGCCTCAAGCATGCTGTGATGTCAGCTGCCCATGCTCGCTTCATATGGATTTAGAGTCTTGAAAGGGATTCTGTCTATAAATGGAGATTTTAAAATAAGGATTTTGCCTATTGATTAAAATAAAGTAGTGTGAAACAGATACCTGTTTCTTTCTTCTCTCCTCCCCTTCTCCCTCCCTCTCCCCCTCCCCAAACCCCTCCTCCTCCCCACTTCCCTCTGTCACCCAGGCTGGAATGCAGTGGTGGAATCACAGTGGCCCCAACCTCCCAGGCTCAAGCAATCCTGCTGCCTCAGCCTCTGTAGTGGCTGGGACTACAGGAGTTTACCACCACACCTGGCTGACAGATACCTGTTTTTATTAGATTCCTGACTTTATCAGTGGGACCTCCCTGAGTACCTTAAATAATCCCTGGAGTGGTGTCTCAACCCAGGGTTTGGAAACCTGGATTTTTATATATATATATATATATATTTTTTTTTTTCTTTTCTTTTTTTCTTTTGAGATGGAGCCTCACTCTGTCGCCCAGGCTGGAGTGCAGTGGCATGATCTCAGCTCACTGCAACCTCTGCCTCCCAGGTTCAGGCAGTTATCCTGCCTCAGCCTCCTGAGTAACTAGGACTACAGGTGCGTGCCACCACGCCCGGCTAATTTTTTTTGGATTTTCAGTAGAGACGGGGTTTCACCATGTTAGCCAGGATGGTCTTGATCTCCTGCCCTCGTGGTTCACCTGCCTCAGCCTCCCAAAGTGCTGGGATTACAGGCGTGAGCCACCACGCCCGGCCCCAGATTTTTTAAATACTACTAATAATATATTTTTGAGAACCTATTTCCAGAAAAATACACAATAGAGTATTTTTAATCAATAAAACAAAAACTCCCTCGGCAACAAAATGCATAATACAGGATGCTTCACTTAATAGCTTTAACAGGGCCACAAGCACTTTATATAATGATAGAAATAAGTTGGTTTAATGAATTCTGAGTATTAAAAAAACACAAATATACTATTATGTTTGACTTGTAAGCTGGGAACAATAACATTGTAAACTAAGCATGACAAGTATTTTTTAAATATTTGATTATTTTGTGTTGATGTTACGAATTAAATAACATTTTTCTTATTTTTCTTGTTTTTCTTCTGCTTTAGCTACACAGTCTCACCAGTGGTATTCCTGGGGCCCACCTAATATGCAGTGTAGATTATGTGCAATTTGTTGGCTTTATTGGAAAAAATATGGAGGCTTGAAAATGCCCACTCAGTCAGAAGAAGAGAAGTTATCTCCTAGCCCAACTACAGAGGTACAGTAGTCTTTTTAGTGTTGAAAAATGTCATGTTTTTAAATGGCTTGATTATTCCTTGGAAACAGAAGTACAGTATAGGATAATTAAAAAATGAAGAAAGCTACCTTTGTAGGTAAACATAGCACTACAATATTCAGGGTAGGTGTGGAGAGAAGCAGGGAGAAATTAAATTTTATCAGGTATTCAGAATAATGGTCTCAGACAAAAAAACAATGAATGTGGGAGATGTTAGCATAAGTAGAGAGCTTACAAATTAAATGTTTAATTGCTTTTGAAAACAGTTTGTGTAACCTTTACATTCTGTTGAAGGTGTGTCTTACTACATAAAGTCATAAATGCAAATTGAGCATTTTTTCTCCCTGTGGCTATTTTGGAGGGATAAGAAGTATGGACTGAATCTTGAGGTGAACAACAGTTTAAATGTGATTTTGGTAAAATCCTCATAGATTGAAGATGCCAACCATCTGTGTTTACCAGTGGGTGACGACTCTTTTTCAGTGCTGACAGGCTTTCAGGACTCCTTAATTTAAAAAAAAAAAAAAAAATAAGTGTAGTTAACCCCCTTGGCAGTTTCTTACTACCTATTGTTAATGTTATTATGGATTCCTGTACAATAGTACAGTGTTCTCCACAGTTCCCTTCTCTACTCCCCACCTCTTTCCCAAAAGTGCACACTTTAATTCTTTTAGAGGTAGTGCACCAAGTGATGTTATAGATGCTTCATGAAAGATTTAAAAGTTGCACTTTTCTTTTGAGCGTGATGCAAACAGTAATGCGTTTGGGCAAGTTCATTTCTTTGAGTGTTTGTTGTTTTCTGATTTTGCAGGACCCTCGTGTTAGAAGTCACGTATCCCGCCAGGCCATGCAGGGAATGCCAGTTAGAAATACTGGGAGTCCAAAGTCTGCAGTGAAGACCCGCCAAGCTTTCTTCCTTCATACTACTTATTTCACAAAATTTGCTCGCCAGGTCTGCAAAAATACCCTCCGGCTACGGCAGGCAGCAAGACGGCCGTTTGTTGCTATTAATTATGCTGCCATTAGGGCAGAATGTAAGATGCTTTTAAATTCTTAACCTTATATGTTGTGCTTCTGACCATTTTCTCTTTTCTTCTCTTTCCTTTTTTTTTTGTTTGTTTGTTTGCAATAAACATAAGTTCTTGTGTACAGCCTTTTATTTGGTTTATTTTTTTAACATTGTTTTTGTGTGCTGCCATTTGTATCATGCCAACCTGAAAAAAAAAAATCAAAACATTGAAACTTCTGTACTCTTTACCAGAGAGTAGTGCTTAGCAAAAGATTGGTGGGAGGTGATCCTATTCCATGGGGTTTTGTGATGGAGTTGCCTACAGAGCCCTGTTGAAGCAGTTTTACCTCTTAGGTAGTGTCACAATGTAACCCCTAAGGATGCTGTTATAATGAGACTCCATAATTGAGACAGTACAGTCCAGTCTTATGGATTCATTAGGTTTAAATAAAATTTGCCAATTTACACTAATTAGAGACCGTATGTCTTTGTAAATCTTGTTTTTCCCATGAACCTTTTACAATTGTCATACAACATTATGGAAATTCACCAGTGCTTCATAACAAATACTATATTTATTAGAAGGTCTAGCAAATTATAAGTAAACTTTAAACTGATTTTTGCGTGAATTTTCTGAAAGTACACATTTCGTTTTCTTAAGCTAGCATCTAAACATATGGTTGAGCAGGCTGTTTGTCCAGTTTGGTTTCCATTTCATGATCGTGTATCTTATATATCACCACATAACATTTACATAACTTTTATTTTCAACACATTTGGTCTTGCTTATCTTTTTTATTTTTATTTTTGTTAGCGCAGAGATCCTATGTATCCATGAATTGTAGATTGTTTTGTCATTACCATGTCTCTGACAATATGTGTATAATTAATATGTTCGCTCTGGAGTCACATTCCAGGCTAGCATGTTAGAGCCGTGTAGCTTTTGTTCCTTAAGAGATAAGAAAACTTGCTGTTTGGCTTAACAGATAGGAAATCTTAAAGCTATTCTAAGAAATCTCTTATTATGAAAAGCTCCCCTTTGATTTAAAGAGGATATCAATAAAAGGAACGATGACTAAAAAAATCATTTTTTGTTCCTAAAGGTAATTTTTAGCAGAATAGTTGAAAGGCTTTAAAACTTAAGTAATAGCTCTATAAGAAGAAAAATGCTTTGTAAAGGGAATTGAGGGCTGGGTGCGGTGGCTCATGCTTGTGATTCCAGTACTTTGGGAGGCCAAGGCGGGTGGATCACCTGAGGTCAGGAGTTCAAGACCAGCCTGGTCAACATGGTGAAACTCTGTCTCTACTAAATATACAAAAATTAGCCAGGCGTGGTAGCGGGCGCCTGTAATCCCAGCTACTTGGGAGGCTGAGGCAGGAGAATTGCTTGAAACCAGGAGGTAGAGGTTGCAGTGAGCTGATATAGCACCATTGCACTCCAGCCTGGGCAACAAGAGTGAAACTTCGTCTCAAAAAAAGAAAAAAAAAGAAAAAAGAAAAAATGGTAACAATGTCAGAGTCCCACGGAAGGGAAATTACTATATTAGATTCATGTATATTTGAGAGTTTAGGCTTATATTTAGGTTTTGTGCTAACATTTGAGACCTCATGGACTTACGTTAACACTTTCCCATTTGGGGAATTGGAAATATTTATATTCTAAATTGTTCAGCTCATTTAAAACACATTTTTATATAATTTTTTAAATAAAAAGAATGGTGAAGGCCAGGCACGGTGGCTTGCGCCTGTAATCCCACACTTTGGGAGGCGTAAGTGGGCAGATCACCTGAGGTCAGGAGTTCGAGACCAGCCTGGCCAACATGGTGAAACCCCATCTCTACTAAAAATTCAAAAATTAGCCAGGCGTGGTGGCACGTGCCTGTAATCCCAGCTGCTTGGAAGGCTGAGGCAAGAGAATCACTTGAACCTGGGAGGCAGAGGTTGCAGTGAGCCGAGATCACGCCATTGCACTTCAGCCTGGGAGACACAGTGAGACTCTGCATAAAAAAATAATTAAAAAGTGAAACATTTAAGAATGAAAATGAATGAGACTTTTCCATTAAAATGGGTAGGGATCCAGTATCATCTTTGTCCTAGGAGTAGAAGAGAAACCATCACCAACTCAGTTGGCTGCTGAGGAAGCTCTGTTTCCCCAGGGCTCGTGTGTTAATTTTCAGTTAATTTGCACATTATCTTTGTTTTGATTATTCTTCAATGAAGTATATTTTTCTTTTATCTCATTCTAATTTTTTTCTCAACTGATGGGCCATGCTGCTAAAAGGGATCGTAATTAAGTTATCTGTATTTTATTTCTATAAGCATATAGATTATAGTAATAATAAAAGAGCAGTCATTTATCTGGATGAAATTCAGAGAGCATATGTTATTTTGTTTTGTATTTAGCTTCACCAGTCATTGAGTTTTACATAATCAGATTCTCAAATAATTTTACCTTAAGATTTAAAATGACAGTGTTTCAGCAGCCATCTACTCATTTTTTTTTTCAGACAAGCAATTAATGAACTTTTCCTAACATCTAATTGATTATGCTATCATCTCTTCTGTTGCAACAAATGTCCTTGTACTTACCTTGTTACAACCTCTTCAGCAGATGTCTTCATTTTGGCTTGTTAGGGTGATTAGATATTAATAACCTGATATCCATAGGCAACCATGTCTGTGGTCTACTGGGAGTGTATAGGAGTGTGTGTGTGTGTGTGTGTGTGTGTGTGTGTTTTCCAGTAAGTTTTCCTTAGTTTCTCAAAGGCAGTGTTAGGCTCTCCTCCACCCTGCAGAAAGTTAAGAATCACTGTGATGCAGTGTGAATGTACTTTCAGATAAGGCAGAAGATTGTTATTCTCAAAATATTGATGGATCAAGAGTTCTCATTAATGCATTTTAGAATAATTTATTATTTTGGGAAAGTAATTCTTCCCTGTGGGCTTGAGACTCTTCCAAGCACTCTAGATGTTGAGCTCTTCGATTGTCTCTGGCCATGGCAGCACCATCACAGCCAGTGTCATAGTTTATGGGATGACACTGCATAAAAGTGAAGAAATGGGAGCTTTTTAAACCTGGATTAAATCATACAGTAAAAACAGAAAAGGCCTTTGCAGATTCATAAAATATCTCAAAGAATATGTAAATAGTAATGATATCTGAGGGAAGGGAAACTGGGAGCCTGAGGGAAAGGGGTGGGAAGATTTACCACTCCTCATCCATACATAGGATTTTTTTTTTTTTTTTTTTAAGAGACAGGGTCTTGCTCTGTTGCCCAGGCTCTGGAGTGCAGTGGCACCATCATAGCTCAGTGCAGCCTTGAACTCGGGGGTCCAAGTGATCCTCTTGCCTTCTGAGTAGGTGGGACTAGTGTGGCCCATCATACCTGGTTAATTTATTTATTTTTTTTAGAGATGGGGCCTCACTATGAAAAATGTATTTTTTAAACCAATTTCCCCAAATACCTAAATATTATTTTAGTAATAGATCTTTATATGTGAATATATAAATCCATGACAAAAGTTACTAACATTAGTAAAATACTTGAGCCAGTTCTACCATGTAGATAGTGCTTATTAAAAATGGATTGGTAGACCAAAATCCTTCACTGCATAAAGAAACCTACTGTGTTCTTAAGATTTGTGGCCCAACAGCAAGGTTATAAAATACCAAGTTTGGACATCGTGCTCACTTCAGCAGCACATATACTAAAAATTGGAATGATACAGAGAAGATTATCATGGCCCTGAGCATGGATGACCACACAAATCAGTGAAGTGTTCCATATATTATTTAAAAAAAAAAAAAGTAAGCCATCTTTTATTTTTTCCCCTTTGAGATCCCTCCCCCTAGTAAAAAAGCTATGTATGGGAGAATGACATTCCTCTGTTATTGCCATCAGGTATTATCTCAAAGACTTCACCAGAGATCTACAGAATTACCCAAACACCTGGTACACATAGGATTATCGCCACTTGAGACTCAGGATCCTCACAGACTGAGGTTAAATAGAAGTAGGTTAACTAGCAACATTCCAAAGATGAAACTAAAGTGCCTGGAAAAGTAAATCTGGATGATTTGCCTGGCACCTTGGTGGCCTGCAGAGAGAGTGAAGTGGTTTGGGCTGATAACACCAGACTTGAATGGGCCACAGTATTCCCCCGTATGAGGTTATTTGGGAGGAGCCTGAAGCTATTTTTCTGTTTGAAGATGCTAATTCGACTTTGGAGGTATCTCAAGACCCCATTTCGTGAAAAATTTGTTTTATGAGATTTTTCTAGCGATTTCTCAGCTAAAGTTAATGATTGTATAAGCTTTCCTGAAATTTTAAGCTTGAAACATGAGAGAATAGTTGGTTTGCTGCTTTTGGTATTTTTGGTAGAGAGTTTAAAATTTTTTTTAGTCTGTGCCTGGTGGTATAAGACGAGGAGTTTATTTTAATAAAAATTTGGTTTTGAGTGGATACTGAACATTTTTTTTGAAAGGTACAAAAGTGGTTACAAATCTCATCACGTTTCTCATTCCTGTTTTACCCCATTCAGTGATAACCATTATCATTGTTGCCTTAAGTATCCAGAAGTATTCTGTGCATCTATAAGAATCTAAGTAGGTTTATTCTTTGTTTCTATATGATGTTAACATACTGTCTATATTGCTCCGTCCCTTGCTTTTTACTTAACATACCATGCCACTGCATTAAGAACTGCCTCCTTTTTGTGTCAGCTGCATAATCTATTTTGTTGTACTATACCTAGTTCCCTATTAAAAGCTTTTAAGTTATTTTCAGTCATTTTCTATCATAAATAATGTTGCAACAAATGTCCTTATGCAGATATCATTTCATACTGATGGATAAAATGGGAATGTGCCTTACAAGATAGCTCCCTAAAAGTTAAAGTTGGGACCAAGGAGCATACATTTTGAATTTTGGTGTAGTTTTATTGCCGTTAGAAAAACTGCAATTCACAGTCCCACTCACAACGTCTAGACAATTCCTATTTCTCTAGAACTTTGCTGGCAGTGTTA